GCCCTGCTGCGGCGGCACTACCTGGGTGAGCGACCGACGGACCCTGCGTGGGGGCGGCCGAGGGGGCTTCTTTTGTCTCGGTGGGGGCACCCCGCCCAGCAGGGGTTGAGGAAGGCGCCGCGGGGGCAGGAGGGGCGCGGCCGCGGGGCTCGAGTGAGGCTTAGGCAGAGTTGAGAGCAGCGTTTCTCGGCCTTTTTTGGGGGACCAGGACCCGTTTGGAAACGTCAGCGGGCGGTCCCCAGCCGGAGCCCCTCGGTCCTGACCCGCTGCCACCCAGCCACCTTCGTCCGGAGTGTGGGACCCCAAACGGCCCCAGCCGGCGAGGGGAAAGGCACGTTTTTCTCCTTTTAAGGAGGATCTATTTTTAAAGTTTGTTCGCGACTCTGTTGTATATTCTTGCAACCCGCTTTTGGGTTGCGATCCACGGGTTGAGAAACTCCGGACTAGATGGCCTCTGGAGGTCCCTTCCCACCTTGCTGCTCTGCGAGTCTGTGGATTGGTTCAGATGTTCGAAAGGCCCCAGGAGGAATCAGTTTAAGTTACATGGGTTTCTGTAAGCAGCGTGGCTTAGATTGGTTGGGAACCGAACACGCATTCGCCCTGCGGGGGGGTGGGGTGCGTAAATCTTAGACTAGGTTCTGGCATTTTTAAACGTGCGTGTGTGTCGAATGTGTGCGTGTGTGTGTCGAACTTCTGCTGTTATGGGTACAGACCGGTTTTCAATCACTTATACTGGTAAAAGTGTAATATCTGTACCTGGCACGTGAGTCTGAGCATTTTTAGGCCCTTGGATGCACCTGCTTGTGCTTTTATCAACAAGAGTCATTAGAGAGCCTCAACAGGATTTTTCTTTTTTGACGTGCATTTGCTTCTTTTTTTTGTTGGGTGGTTAAGATAAGTTTCTCTGTCCCCAGATCTCTTAAGCATGTATCGATGAGATTTCGGAGAAGCAGGATATTCGCAGCTGTGACTCCTTAGCTTTGCCGGTGGTGGGTTAGGGGATTAGGTCTGTGTTGTCAGGTTTGACAGGAGCCTGATGGAGAGTTCAGATTGTGGTTGTTTAGGATCATTTGGGTAGGGATGACTGTATAAGATTGTATAGCCTGGTTTGGATAAGAGTGATTTGGCCTTGGGCAGAGGGGTTGGACTAGATGACCTGTGGAGGTCTCTTTTAGCCCTGCTTCTCCATGAGTCCGTGTTCTTTGTGATTCTGAGCTTTATCAAAGGACAGCTCTAATACTAACTTGCACTTACTGGCACATGTTTTTGGCACTGTACTGTTTCTTCTTTCTCATATTCCTCTAGTCCTATATGGGTATTTGTTCAGTAGAAACTAGATTGAGATCAGAAGCTAACTTTAAGCAAGTCATTTTCAAGCAGTTATCAGTTGGCACTGGGTTTTGGGTTGTACTGATTTAGACTGAATTCGAGATGAAAGCCTTCATAATAGCCCAGTCTATCTCTCCTATCACTTTAATGTCCTACCAGCAGAATTCTTGTTCTAAAAATGGAAACAGGATGGCTTGATGTGTCAGTATAGTAATATTGTGGTAAGACATCAAGTCCTGTGGGGGGGGTTTAATCTGTTTAAATTGTTTTAGGTAGATAATCCAAAAAAGATGAGTAGCATTCCTGTTGCTTCCTGCTATTAAAAAAAACAAAACTCAGAGTAACCCATGTTAGCAGCACATTTCCAAATTTAGCCTTGGTAAGGTGACAGGAAGATGAAGTGTGTATATCCAGTGCTTGCATAATGTGATGAAGCTTTCATTTCAAGGTAATGTTTCCCTTTAATGTTCATTTTACTGAAGGTTTGGAAGATAGGGAAAGGCATATATTCTGCTCTTCCCATACACATCCTATTAATTTTTAGTTACAGAACTGCTCGGTCTGAAAGTCTGGCAAAGGTTTGGCAATTGGGCAGTACCATACTACCATACTCCTGTGGTTTTGAGTGACAAATTCCAAACTTGTTTTGTCCTGAGCCCTGAAAGTTATCAGACTGAACTGATAACAGACCTGATCTAACATGGGCCCATAAATCCTTTTCATATATTGCATAGGTGGAATCTGGGTTTTTCAGGAAACCAACTTTTTTTTAAACAGTATTTCTAAATTGTTGCTTCCCTTCTGACATAAAAGTTTTGGCAGACTTCTGAAAGAGGGACTGCCACGAAGACATGATTGAACATATGTGTTTGGATGTAGTGCCTCCTGGAATGAGGTCAGTTTTTTAAAGAATCCTTCTGTAGTGACAAAGGAAACAGTTTGATCCTATCATATCACTGCCATAATTTTGTCAGGATTTGCTGTTAGAGGTGCTGTCTTTTGGATGAGATATGACACTAAGATCCTTATGACTTTAAGTGATTATAAGATCCCATGGCACTTTTGCAACTGTACGATATTGAATCATAGTATCTTAGACTGGTGCTTATTTGGTGAATTATACTCTGTCTCCTGAAATTTGCCATATCTAAAGGATACTATGTTCGTTCAGATCAAAAGGATTTGTTATTGCGCTATGGTATTGTTATAGGAATGGTGGCACAATATCAATTGGCAATGAAGCTCTGATCTTGGACACACACATTTTAAAATATCAGTTTATGTAAAGCATTTTGGTTTCCTCAGAATGAAAGCCATTCTGCAAACATTAGGGTTGTTGGTTGTAGCCGTGTTGGCCTAAGGACATAGGCAGACAGGTTCTTTGGGTAGATGTGATATCTTTTATTAGACCTAAATAGTTGGAAACATTGTTCTTTGCATGCTTTCAGGCACAAACACCCTTCTAAAGACTGACCCTTCTGTAAACATTATTTCTTATATAGAGAAGTAGCAGCAGTGTTGTGGGGGGACGGGATGGAACGGGACCGGACCTTTTGTTTGTCAGAACCATCTCCCAGTATGAGGGTTTACTTGCTTTTCTTTGAGGGAGTTAGTCCTGCTGCTGAAGATAGACAGTGTGAAGCACTTTTAGTCTATAATTGGCTTCACAGGTTATCACAGCAAATCCATTATTTTGAAATCTTTTATAAAGGAGAAAATGCTGCTGTTCTGTTATTCAAAATGATTGTAAATGTTGTGATTCATCATTTGGCACAAAAGAAGCCGAGCAAAATAAATCCTTCACAAACATTGTAAATCCTCTTTGCATGTTCTTTCCTACTTTCTTTCCTCCTGGGAATCTGGAATTTTTAAGCTTGCTGAATTTTGTTGGTGCAGTTTTGGGGCCATCTCATGAAACTTTAAGAAAAAAAGAAATCACTAAATAAATATTTTGATTTTTCTGTATTTGAAAGCATTGGGTTTTGTTTATCGAAGTTGAATTCTTATACCAAGCCCTTCTTTTGTTTGTCTTGGAATTTAAGAAGGTTGAAATCTGAACTTGCTGCTAGAATACTCTGTGCAATTGAATGCATTATGGTCAAATTTGGTAATGTGTTGTCCACCAGGTATTAGAATCATATTTTGCAGAGCACTTTTGATTCTAAAAAACAGCAGTGCTCCTCCAAATAATGTGAGCAAAGTGAAAATGCCATGCACAGGTCTGCTAAGAAACTCTGTACATTTCTAATGCTTCATTATATTTCACTCACTCATTCTAACAGCCAACAAGGGAAAAAAGCTCATATGCACAGATTGTGTGAGCTCATTCTGTAAAGCATGGTAATAGATGTCAGAAAATATACATAGTGCAAAACTTTCGGTGTTTGATTTTTGAGATTTTGATTCTGACAGCTGGCAAACGGTGTACTTCAGTTGGTTAGCCAGGGAGAAAGCTATGACTGTCTTTTTATATCCATAGATATAAATAGGATCTATAGGAAAGAGAAGGACTGACTAATCTACTTATATGCATGGTTATTTAGTCCTGTTTACACAGTAGAACACCTGTGGTAAAAACTTGCCTATCTAACCTCCAGTTAACATTCCTAATTCAAAATTACCTATAAACAGGAAAGCAGCTAATTCCTTAAGGTAAAAAGTAGTGTAAAAAAGCTTCAGTTGTCTTGGATGAGAAAAATAGTACAGAGCTAATAAAATGGACACTGGGAAAATTTACAGTGAGGAGAGAATTGTTGGATTACAGGGTTGGACTTCCCCATGGTTTTCAGTCCCTGTAGTATTGGAAATCATAGTATGGAGTGTAATGGGTTTGTATAAACAGTTTTAACATAAACTCTTTCTGAAGTGTTTTCTAAATGTAACTTTTCAGTTTGGTTGCAATTTCTTGCTGTTACAGGTTATGGGAAATAACCACAGATCTTGTACCCTGTCCATTGTCTTTTATACTGGGCACAATACATATAACTGATTTTTATTATCCTGAGCTATGTTGATTGATATATCACATGTCTCTATATATGTCACTGTTAATAAACTTTTATCATTTTTTATTTTTTTTTAATTTTTCACCTGAATTAAAAATCTGTTGGGCAGCAGGACACACATTGGAGTGAGGAGAGAGGTGTATCATTGTGTTTTTCTCTCACATAATTCTGGCAAATTAACTGTGTTTTGGAAAAACAACACCTGTTATTGACTTGGTTTTGTGATTGTAAAGATCCAAATGATTGACTGCGGTTTTAATGTGAACATAATGCAGTCAAAGAGCAGAAGAGCAATGTGATTTTTTTTTTTTCCTCACTCTTTACAAGTGAAGAGATACTAACCTCAGGCATATTCTTTTCACTTAATAAAGCTAAGTCACTGTGACTGGTGTCAGAAAAGTAGGTCCTGGAACAGATTGACAAAATAAAAAGCAGTAAGTCATTGGGACCGTTGTTATTCAGTCAAGAGTTGGAAGTGGATTTAAGGAAGGGGCCTTTGCTACAACATCTTGTCAAAAACACCCCAACTCACTAAAATCAGTTGGTCTGCCAGAAAATAGAAGGGTACAACATGTACTAACCTTTACAAAAAGGTGTGGGGGCTGATCCTGGCAGTTTCAGACCTACAGAGTTTATGCTAATACCAAGTAACCAGCTGAAATAATTAGACATTGTAATTTAAATGTTGAAA